ATTATAGGGCTGATATCTTGGGGCAAAGTCTGCTTTCATTCAGAAAAGTAATGTAGCTAGTGATTAGTTAGTTAATTATTCTTTAAATAAGTAGGTAACAGTGCAACCAATCTGTACACATCTAGTTTTCCCCTGGCTGTAGGAAGGAGGTGGACGGTGACTGACTTCTGAGAGAATTGGAAATGGCCTAGAAAAACTTAAGCTGTCTTACACCCTCACGGCATGGGCTCAGCTTTCTGAAAGATGAAGTCCCTTAAATAACAAAACATACTTCATCTTTACTATTCTGAATGGATAGTGCCCTCAAACGCACCATGACCATCCCTCTCTTATTTCTAAAATTTTCATTGAGGGGTCCAGGCACAATTGTTAAATAAATCAGGTAACGCAGGAAAGCAACAGTCCTCAGTCCCACCTCATTCTGGGAGCAATTCCTTTTGAACTCTCTCTGTTTGCTTTTCCCAGTGGTGCCTTCCTCGTCTCCGTGTGCCCCCTCCTGATAACGCCCGTCGCAGGCCTGCTTCCTGGCTGCACACTATGGCGGGGTCTCCCGTCAGCCAGGCCCACCCCGTCTACCCTACAGTCACATGACCTGCCCCGTCCTCTCTCCTTCCATGATCAGCGCTGACTCGTGTCTCGTTCTTTCCCGTTGCCCAGAGGCAGCGTCTCTTGGCGCTTCACTTTTGACCTTTGCACGTACACTTTGCCCTCCCCACCCTGCTCACTTCCACGTCTCTACACGTGTGCTTTTACTTCCACACGGTCGAGATCGTTAACACCTACCCTCTGTTCTAGAGGCGTGGTTACCTCCCGCGATGATCTGTTGTTAGTTTGAACCTAACGGTTGAGAACCAAATAATCAGTGTGCACATGACGACGACTTTGCAGATGTTCACTGCACAACCAAGTACTGTGTTCTTCTTTTCCTTCATTTTGTGGCTAATGTTATGCTCTCTGTGCCACTAGAGAACATTGCTGATGATCAAGTTCAAATGGAATTGCCCTGTCTTTAAACGGGGGTGTGGTGAACCTGGCGTGACTTTCTGTAGCATGAAAGAGACTTAAGTGTACACGATGCATCCTCCGCCTCGGCCACTTCATGTCTTAGTCCGCCTGGGCAGCGAGAACAAAGTACCGCAGACTGGGTGGCTTAGACGACAGACACTGATTTCTCTCGCCCTGCAGGCTGGCCGTCTGGGATGGAGGTGCCCGCAGACGCAGTCTGGTGAGGCCTCTTGGCCACCTCCTTGTGTCTCACGTGGCAGAGAGAGGGAGGGAGCGAACACTCTGGTCTCCTGCTCTTCTCATGAGGACCTTGTAAATCCTTATAAACACCAATCCCCATCCTGGGTGCCTCACCCTCATGCCCCCATCTAACCCTAATCACCACCCCAAAGCCCACCTCCGAATGCCATCACCCTGGGGTTTCGGCCTCAGCGGACATTCGTGGGGACACGTTCAGTCCCTAATGCTCCACGGACCACCCTTCCCGCTCTTCCTTAGTCGTGTGCGGTGTGTCTGCGCGACTGAGTTATATCTCTGTTGAGAGGCAGTCACCGTGGGCCTGGGGCAACCCTGCGCGTCCCGGGGAGTGCAGCTCTGTGGGCCAAGGTGCCTGGCTCCGTTCACCCTCCTGCTGTGCTGGGCCCCCGCACCGGCTTGGCGTCTCTGTGAATTCCTCCACCGCCCTGGGGTGTAAGGAGAGGTTGGGCCTGAAGACACTCCCACAGGTGATCCTTATTTCTGCTAGAAGCCAGATTGGCCAGGGTTGTGCGTGGGAATCCTGGGAAGCCTTATGAAGACTTCCGTCCTCGCCTGGGCATCAGAGGGGCCAGTGCCGCAGCTTAAGGGCATCAGGTGACTGACGATTGCCTCTCAGGTGCAGGGAGATGGTTCTCCCCTGACGCGCTCCCAGCAGGGAGCTCTGTCTCTGCCCCCCACCCCCGGTTTTAGGACTCCTTGGGCCTTTGCTGCCAGGCCACTCCTCTGAGCCCGGCTGGTCCTAGGGAATTCCTGGAAATCCAGCCGTGCCTCCCGCACACCCTGCTGGGAGCACCCCCCTTCCCTTCTCCCCTCCCCCCCCTCCAGCTCTGGGGCCTGAGCCTGCTGCTACTTCTTTCCCTCCCCATTGCTGGCACCCTTGCGTCATCAGCCACTTGCTCAGACTCTGGGCCGTTGATACTTCTAACTTCTGTCTCCAAGGCTCTGCCCTTGGCCTTAAGATCCATTCTGGCCACGCCCGGGGCCTTCTGGTGCTCAGAGCCAGGGCAGTGATCTCTTCTCAGAAGGCCTCTGTTCTCCTCCCTGAGCACCATGCCCGTGGGTGTGAGGTGTGACGAAGGGCAGAACCCAGGTGATCCTGGTGACACCAGACTGTCCATCAACCTTGTGGAAACACCTGTGGGAGGGAGGGGGGGGTGTTGTGGGGAGCGGCCCACTGGGCAGGTGACCAGCGCTCAGACCACGCTGCTGTCCCTTCGGGGTTGAATGGTGTGTCACCCCAAGTGCAGCACGGGAGGGGTGCTAAGTGGGGCTCCTGGGGCACGCCTCCCTTCTAGGGGCCAGCATGCATGCTGTAAAGGCCTGGCCATCCATTCTGAGGATGGGAGGATCAGAAGGTGGTGCTGTCGCGGGGCCAGAGGGGGGCCGACACCGCCTCCAAGGGGCTCACAGTTCAGGAGACAAGAGACCTGTAAGCAGGTAATAACAGCACAGGTGTGACAGGCTCTCCACAGGTGCTTTCAGGGTGCAGGCATGGGGCTCAGGGCACCCTAGCTGCTCCCTCCTAATCTAGGAACCTCCGACTCCCTCTCCCAACTATTTCATCCCTCCAGTGGTGAAAGCTCAAGGGTTGCCAAACCAGTTGTCAGGAACCCCTTGTCCGGGCCAGCTTCAACACGTGGGAGTGGCTGATACTCAGCAAAAATAAAGAATCACATTTATGGCCTCTGGGGAGGAAACTGGCGGCTGGAGGCTGGGAGGGGAGGGAGAGGCTTTCCGCTGGTGGACTTTGTGAATTCTAAAGCTCCACTACTTATCCATTAACATAAACTTTCTTAGAAGTACAGCCAAGAATTACCAAAAGCATTTTTAAAATGTCAGTTGGAGGACCTCAAAAGGAGAGGCAGCGTTGCATAGAGGAGGCGCTGAATGGGGAGCTGCGGAGCCTGGGTGCCCTTGAAGGGTTATCAAGGTGAGCCCGGAGCTGCAGGCATCCGTCCTGGGGTGAAAACAGCCAGATTAAAGAAAGTCATGCTGTTTGCACATAGACATTGTAGGTCCACGGACTACCCCTCTGAGAGCAGATTTAGACACTTCAAAGTCTCCTCACCCAGGGGCAGCTACCCACATAGCTTTCACGCTTGAAATTCTTCACAGCGAGGTAGGCAGGTTGGGAAGGCGTGATGGGCTGTTTTTCAAGGCAGGCGGTCTGCAGCTCTGCAGGGCCACGCGCTCTGAAGGCAGCCCGGGTCTGTGTGCTCCTGATGCCGACTCAGCACTCATACGAGTGATCAAGACCAATGATATTCCATCTGTGAAAACATCGAGGCTGTGTTTTCCAATCTTTTTGACCAATTTCTCATAGTAAGAAATAGATTTTACTTGGCAGTTCAGTATTTTCATACAAAATCACACACACAGATATATAGGAAATAAACTTTCATAAAAGTGTACTTCCTCTAATTGTGTGGATGGACTAAATTTTCTATTCGGTTCTTTCCAATTTGGTATTTTTTACTGCTGATCACGCTCCACTCAGGGTCTGGTTCTGAGGGAATCCAAATTGCAATGTTTCCAATCTCAGGCATTTCTTTGTAGTCTGGATGTTTTAAGCGTCCCTAGTTAATTACTTACAATTCCCTGAAATGGGGCTTTAAAACACGCCCCATTCTTCTAGGACCCCTTCCCCTCCACCTTGCCTTTCACACCAAATAGATGATTTCCCTTCTACTTCAGAGAAAGTGAGGGAAAGAATTCTTCCAACTGTCTTCTCCTCTTCCCATTTTTCTGCTCAACGTTTTGCCTTCAGCTGTCTCTACCCTGGGGCCCCCCACTTCGCAGCAGAAGGGGTGTCCCTCTTCCTGTTTAGGTCTGACTGCTCCCCTGAGCTCTCCCACTCTCGCCTCCTCAGAGCCCTAAGACCCCCAAAGCCAGCTCCTCTCTGGTCCTTGGCTCCTTTACCGGCACATTCCCACCAGTACTTACACATGTGGGGGGCTCTCCACACGACACTCCACAGCACCCCTTCACTTCCCCTTGCCTTTGCTCTGACTACGGCCCTCTCCCTCCTTCTCGGGGAGGTCCTGAACCATGTCTCCTCAGCTGTGGGGTCCCTACTTCATCCTCTCCAGTGCACCCTGTGCCTGCCCTAAGCTGAACTGTCCCAGGGCCAGCACTGAAACTGCCAGTCCTACCACAGACCCCGTAGTTTAGCACACAAGAGCTGTGCATTTGGGCTCCCGCCTGCCCTGTGCCACAGGCCCACACGGACACCCCACTCTGGCCACTGAGGATTCTTCTAGTCCCTCCAGCAGGTCACTCTGTTTCACATCTTTGCACTGTCGTAATGCACCATAATGCACTTCGTTCGCATCTGTTTGAATTTTCTTCTGCCCCAAGCTTCTCTCAGTTCCCATTCTGACAATTCCTGCTCAGCCTTTAAAAAATGGTCTAAATTACCATCTCCAGGGACACTTTCTTCCCTAGTCTTAGAGGCCTTTCCTGCGTGATCACCTAGCTCCAGGACACGACAGACACCCAATGAGTACCTGAGTTAAGTATGGCAGCAGCAAGAGCGATCCCAGGGACCAACAGCTTGGATTCTGAGTGCCCTTCTGCTCCCGCCAGCAAACCTCTGCCAGGAAAGAGCCAATCTTAGTAAGCGGCCATTGCAGGCCAGCAAGTAGGCACACGCAAACCGATCCACCTGACGAGAAGCATCAGGAAAGGGCAGAAATATGGGGCAGGCCTCCGTAACTCTTCCTGTGTTTGTTTTCTAGGGCTACCATATCGAAGCACCATGGACTGGGTGGCCGAAACAACAGAAATGTGTTTTCCCACAGTGCTAGAGACTAGATGTCCCAGATCGAGGTGTTGGCAGGGTGGGTTTCTCCCAAGACCTTTGTCCCTGTGAGCCTCTCTGGGGGTCTCCATGCTTCGAGAGGTCTCTGAGCCTTCCCTCTCTGAGGTGGACCTGTCTGAGGCTGGGGCCAGTGCCTACCCATATGCAGCCCTTGGCTGAGGGGCAGGAACCTCATTTACCTCTTTGAAGACCTGCAAAAGTTTGGAGAGGAAGAGGTGGAAATGCTCCAAGAAGCATAAATAATCCTGTTTTGATGGCTCCCACCCTTCAAATCAGGAGACACTTTTATTATTCACGCGCTGCTCGTCTTCCACTAGTTTATATGAGTCTTCACAATAATAAGACATAGAACTCAGAATATTTATGTTGCAAAGGGCTTAAAATAAAGATCCAGTCGGTCTTTCATTTTAGATGAGAGGAGAGCATTTACTTAGATGTTTTTATATATGTTATAAATCCTACAAGACGGTTACTATTCCCATTTTGTAGATAAGGAGATGCCCCTTAGAAAAATGAAATATCTGGCCTAAAGACTCAAGGTAAACTGGACTAGAACCAGGTTTCCTGACTCCCAGGCACTCCTCTCTGGGTGGTAACTAACTCAAGCCCAATTCTAATGCCCCGATCTGTGTCTTCTGTAGAAGATCCTATCATCTGAAAAACGCAGACCAACACTGGCTCAGGAAGGCTTTGAAGGTCAGAGGCAAACTAACAGCCTTTCATGATGCAGCCCCGTTGGGCCTCAACTTGACCGATGATCTGTCAAACCCAGCAGAGCACCGTGCGAGGCTGGCTCACATCCCACTGGACGTATGACCGAGGGATGCGCTGGAGAAGACACTTTCTGGAAGCAGGAGATGCTGCATACAGGACCAGCAATCAGGACCAGAGGGGGCCCGTGGTTGTAAAAATGAACACTGAGATTTTGAGGGGGAAAAAAGTGCAAGAGGGGGACGAGTGCAAGAGAAAAGACCACAAGTGGTGGGGTGTGGAAGAAAAGTGTTTGAAAAGAGAGCACGGAAGGGCATGATCATGTCAGAGAGCTGGGGCAGTAGAAATAAGCAAGAGCAGTGCCCTGGGAGAAAGGGCTCCCTCTGCCTGTCATCCTATGCCACCTACCCTGTGGTCACCTTGTCACTTCCCACCAAACATGCTGTCTTCTCATGCTCTATTACTGTATTTTCCATAAAGTCACCTTTATGGAATTGTGCCCACAAGGGATGCTTCACTTCCGTGGTGGGTCTCAGGGTGCTCATTTCTTCGGCTTCCCCTTGGTGGCCCTGAAGGATCTGATTGTGGAGTGCTAGCGTAATAGGAGAGAGATGGGGAGCACAGGTTCTCTGTATTCCTCCTTAGCTGCAGCTGCTGCTAATACAGCCACAGAGGAACAGATGGTAAATTCCATCATCACTGGATTGAGGATTCATGTGCGTCCTTGTACTGTCACAGGAATGAAAACAGACTCTGACGCTTTGACTTCGTAGCAAAGCTCATTTGTTTAATATCCTGGACACAGAGCATAGCCCTATGGCAAGAAGGGAACAAGTAAGCAGGGGAAATTAAGCTCCACTTTCCTTTCCCAAATAATGATTCTATCAGACACTCACATGGTGGCACACTGTTGCGTTTGGGATTATGGCTTTATAACAACAGCAGTTAATAGGTATTTAGCCCTTCCTAATCCAGGTCCTACTGTAAGCACTTCATGTTATTAACCCAAGTAGTCTTCACAACAGCTCTGTGAGGTTGGACCTTTTACAGGTAAGATTTGAGGCTGAGTAACTGGTCTAGACTCACCCAGTGATAACCATCATTGTTAACAATGATAACGATCATCATTGCTATTTCTCTGGGGACAGGCATGCTTTAAAAAAGGACAAGTCTGCACAGCTGAGAGCACAATTCCATGTTTTATGTGCAGTTGATGAAAAAAACGTTCTGAGCTTCTCGACGACAGTACCATACATAAGGTGAGAATTCTTCCCTAGTCAGTCAAGCATCCTTCTGTTCACATCCTCAACTGAGTCAAGTCTCTGCGCCTGAGTTGAATCAACTCTAAGACTTACAAATACACATCCTGGATTTTCAGAGGCAGGACTAATTTAAATCAGCCTTAACTTTCTCCACAAGTACAGCAGCTTTTTAAAAATGTGATGGTGGCTTTTTAAAAATCCTGATGGTGGGCCAGAAAATACTGCCATTCCACCCGCAGAGTAGAAAAATTGGAGAATTTTCCCCTGTATTTTCTCACTGACTCAGCTGTTCTTCCCTTTCTTCTTTCACACATCAGATTTTTCTCTTCCCACTTTTTCTTCTGCCGTCTTTGTCCTTTCCTCCTGGAGCCCTCGCTCCTGTTAGGAGGTCTCACTGGTCTGCAGAATGAGGCCAGTGAAAACCAAGCCCCTCACCGCATTCGTTATTTTTGCTGACAGTATTCTCCCCCTTTGAAAAAAAACATTTTCTTCTACTCAGGACCTTACTTCAACATGTCCAAATCTCTGCGCCTCCATAATTACAGGCTTTACCTGTACAATTACCTGTGCAACTAATTGTCACCTCCCAGAGACGATTACTCTTGTTAATTATTAGGTTCTTTTGTTTCCTATTTCGGCGGCAAACCCTGGAGGTGATGGTCAGTCATGTCCCCCAGCTGGTTGACGAGATGCCGGTGAGGGTCCCCAGGAGCCCGTCGTGCGACCTGGCCGGGGGCGCTCCGCGGGCCCTCCTCATCCCAGCACGCGTCCAGGGGACCCTCACTTCCTTGGGGTCCGCTGAAACGGCCCTCCGCGCCTCACAGGGGCCCTTGATTGAGAGTCCCGGCACCCCCCACTCAGGACGCCGACCGGGTCCCTGGGCATCGGTTATTCCCGCCCAGGTCCAGGCTGGTGTAAAGCACCTCCAGCCCCGGCCATTTCCCGGCCCCGCCCTCTCGGGGAATCTGACCACTCAGGGGCTTTGAGCGGAAGCTCCTGATTGGTCCGCCAAGGGGAGCCTGTTAGAGAGGGTTGAGCTCATTGGATAGGCTCTCGGCCAGAGTCTGTCGGAAGCGCAGGCGCCAGGAGGGGCCCGCGGCGCGGGGGCGGGCTCCGGGGCGGCTGTTGCCTTAGCAACCGCGGACCCTCCCGCGAACCCCGCCCCTCCGAGCCCCGCCGCCGCGCCGCCGCCTGCCAGTCGCTACCCGGGGTCCTCCGGCTCCTGCCGCACGGGCGCGAGAGGCCGGTGGCCCCGGTGGCCCCGCTGCTGTCAGCGAGCGGAGCCCAGCTTTTATCCCCAAGGCGCTTACTTTGGTTGCCCATCAGGTAGAACTCCGCTTGTCCTGACAGGAGCACAGAGACCCTGTGTCCGACGGGCCGGTGGGATGGGAGCAAGGTGGGGACGCTGGCCGCGGCCGTCCCTCGCTGCCCCTCTGCCTGGGCAAAGCGCGGCCCCGCCCGGCAACCCGTTCGCGCCCCGGGGGCCCGCGGTGCTCTGCCCAGGTCAGAAACCAGAGCCCCCGCCGCCCTGAACGGCCAGGTACGTTGGCAGGTGCAGAAAGAGTAAGGCGTCCACGGCAGCCACTCAGGTGGGGTCCGTGCGCCACCCTCGCTCGTTGTCTGCCTTGAGGATGGCAGACCCGGTGTCTCTTCCCGGAGGGGGGCGGCACTGAGGACAGGGGCCTGGGCAGGGGGCCAGGTGCGGGCGGGTACCTGGCCCCCGAGGACAAATTTCCCTCTTCCACGAGTGGTTTTAAGTTTTATTTTTATGTATGTCGTTTTTTCTCTTTCTATTAAGATTTTATGTTTTTAGAGCAGTTTTAGGTTCACAGCACAGTTGAAGGGCAGAGATTGCCCATATACCCCTTGCGCCACGCCCCCACGGACAGCTCCCCGTTATCCACATCGCGCACCAGTGGGACATGTGTTTTAAACTATGAACCCCCACTGACACATCACCACCACCCCAAGTCCATAGTTTAATGTCGGTGGTGTACATTCTGTGGGTTTGGACAAATTATGTACGTACGTTAGCAAGCAACTCCAAAGCGTTTTTATCCAGATTTGTGAAATAGGCAATAGCTGGTTGATCCCTCTTTGGGATTTAAAAGGAAGGAGACGGAGAAATGTGACTTTTAAGTAATATACTGTTTTTCTTATGTAGCTTTGAAGGAAGCGCCAAGAGTAATTCCATAAACGTTCTGAGCAGTAGGGCAGTGTTACCTGGAGGTAGATACGTAGCTTCCCACTGGGGCTCCTTTGAAAAGGAAACCTCATCTGAATGAGTAAATTCTGACAATCAAAATTAGTCCATTTTTCCTTTTATTATCCCCCACCCCTTGTCTAGTTTTCACAAAGGATTTGGGCACATGGGCTTAATAGATTCATTTAAAACTGCTTTGAAATGAAAATATGTAAACGTGGAATTTATTACTCTTATATTCGGCATTTTCAAATTTCTTACGAAAATTTGTAGCCATCACTGGCTACAACCTGTACTACTCAGATTAAAACAGGTATATTATTCAAAATTATGTGCATCAAAATAGAAAATGTTGAACCAAACATTTCCCTGTTGACTTTCCATTGTTATTTAGGAAATTTTTTTTTAAAAAAACGTTTATTTCTGCGACTTTGAAATTAGTAAGGATTCCTAATTCTCTCTTTAAATTTTTCTGGCACCTATGTTGTTACTAAAATGTACAGAGTTGAACTGCATGCGCCAGGATTTTGGTTTTATTTGATCAAAACAGTAAAAAAATGGCAATTTCAAATATGATTCAACCTAGTATCTGAATAGGAAAATTTTTACTAAAAAATATTTTGAAGTTAATCCTTTTTTGAGATAAATGATCACCCCCTAATGTATTGATTTTTTTTCTTTTCTTTTTTTTTTTTTGAGAGGGCATCTCTCATATTTATTGATCAAATGGTTGTTAACAACAATAAAATTCTGTATAGGGGACTCAATGCACAATCATTAATCAACGCCAAGCCTAACTCTCAACAGTCTCCAATCTTCTGAAACATAACGAACAAGTTCTTACATGGTGAACAAGTTCTTACATAGTGAATAAGTTCTTACATGGTGAACAGTACAAGGGCAGTCATCACAGAAACTTTCGGTTTTGATCACGCATCATGGACTATAAACAATCAAGTCAGATATGATTATTCATTTGATTTTTATATTTGATTTATATGTGAATTCTACATTTCTCCCTTATTATTATTATTATTATTATTATTATTTTTTAAATAAAATGCTGAAGTGATAGGTAGATGCAAGATAAAGGTAGAAAACATAATTTAGTGCTGTAAGAGGGCAAATGTAGATGATCAGGTGTGTGCCTATAGACTAAGTATTAATCCAGGCTAGACAAGGGCAACAAAACATCCACGGGTGCCGATTTCTCTCAAAACAGGGCGGTGAGGTTCTAAGCCTCACCTCTGTTGATCCCCAATTTCTCACCTGATGGCCCCCTGCAACTGTGCCTGTCTTAGGTTGTTCCTCCCTTGAGGAATCTTACCTGTCTCTGGCTAACCAGTCATCTTCTGGGGCCACCTAATGTATTGATTTTATAAGTTAGTATTTTATACATTGGGTTTACTTGCAGCAGGATCCATTTAAAATTTCCCAGAGTTTTCTGTTTTGCACATGTGTGGTGTGATGACGTCCTGACTAGAAATTCAGGAATTTAAGGGCAACGAGAAACCTTTCAGCACATGTCTTTCGCAGCATTAACCACAATTCTCCCTGACAAGTTGGAGGTTACTGACTTTGAAACATAGCCAGTGTGTATTCTTTCCATGACCCTTGAAAACTGGCCTGTTTCCTATTAATGACTTTTTGTTTTGTTTGAAGCATGTGATGGTCCATTTTCTTGGTGAATTTCCAGATCTGCCATTCTTCTTGTACAACTCATTTGCTTTGTGGTGGGTCTCACCAAAAGATACTGTCTGTGTACATACAGAAAAGGGGCTTCTGGAAGTTATCATGTTTCAGCAAGAGAACTGTTTAAACATCTGACTATCATTTACAATGAGCATCTCTGGTCTCATCCGTGGAAAATACCACAAATAGTAGAGAAAACTGAGAAGAGCTGGCAGAAGATAGCTGCTGAGTTTGCACTGTGCACTGTTCAAATGGGTTTTTAGGAGCCCTCAGACCAAGGTTATTTTTTATTTCAGTTTAGCTCATTGGGTGTGTTCCTTTTTGTAGAGAGCTGAAGAGCAGAGTATGTTTTTTAAAGGTGAACTTCAAAAACCAGTTAGTCCGTCCTCCTTCCATCTGGAAACAGTATCATGATGGACACAGAGCCTGACTCCAAGACAAAGGGAGGCTCTTCAAAATTCTTGGGTAGGCAGGGGCTTTCCTGTTGGCACTATTCCTTGCTGATGCGTTTTCGTCCCAGCTGATGGGGACTCCATGTGCTTTGGACCAATGAATGTCTTGTTACCCTGGGAGCCATTGACTAAACCTGTCCTTTAAATCTTTGGTTAGGAATTTTGAATATATCTTATCTTTAGGAGTTCACTGGCTTGTAGATTTCTCTAAGGCCATTTTTTTCCAGTGTTGTTATTGATGGAATAAGAAAAACCTGCCAAGAAAACCTGGTTATCCTGGAAATGAGCCTTGAAGGCTGAATTGCTTAAATTTTCAGGTGTGACCAGTTTAGCTCACAATAAGATTTCCATCTATTTAAGGGTGTTGAACTAGATAAGAGTGAGAAGATTCCAGGCTTTAGGAACACTTCTGAGTGGAGCCGTAATGCCTCAACTTCCTTTAATGTAAGAAATGTGAAATTCTTTGTTGAGCCTTATAGGCCACATGCTTCTGGTTTATTACACTACTATTAATGTAATTTGCAGGATGAAAACTTTGGGGTAATTAATGGACAAGTCTGTCACGGTAAGACACACACCCAGAGAAAATCAGGCTGCATTAGTTTCCTCACAATTTGAAACTCTTGGTTAATAATTATAGCTATCTTAACTGAATGTCAGGTGGCAGTGTGCAGTGTTCTGTCCATCATCTGAGGAAGAAAAACATTTGGTTCCATGTCCATGATCTTGCACTAACTAGGGTATGAAACGCCTTTTTAAAATAACAGTAGGTTTGCATGTCTTTAAACCAGTGCTATTCAATAGAGAATAGAGTGCTATCTGCACAGGCAATTTGGCATTTTCTGGTATAAAAAGAAAGAGGTGAAATTAATTTTAACAATAGATCTTAACCTCATATATCCAAAATGATAGCATGTCACCATGTAATCAGTATAAAAATAATTAGTGAGATATTCTACATATTCATTTTTGTATGTAATCTTAGAGATCTGGCACATATCCTTTTTGGACCAGCCACATTTCAAGTGCTCAGTTACCCCATGTAGCTAGAGGCTGTTGAACTGGACAGCACAGCTGTAAACTGTTACTCCATCTGGTTAGGCAGAGCATGTTAGACTGGGGAGAGAGAGATGGGCAGGAAAGGGGTCGAGGGGTGGGTAGAAGCCTCTGCTGGGTGCAGAGTATCCTTGGCCCCAGACTTCCCAGAGTATGTCTCTTCGTGTTCAACATTTAAACTTTAAAACGAAAGCACTGACTTCCTTTATTAAATATCCCAGCAGGCGATTGTGATCAAAACAAGAAAATAAACAATTTTACAGACTCAGGGTCTGTCCTAAACAATTTAAGAAGTGAGAAGAGGTGGCTTTGGTCTGGTGGAATCAGAATGGATTTGGGGAACGGGACAGACCTGAGTTCAGACCAGCCCTGCTCCGTCTGAGCTCTGACTCTGTGCAAATCTGTAGCTTCTTTGGCTCTGACCACTGTACTGGGCACGAAAATACTAGTTTTGCAGAGTTGCAGAGTTGCAGAGTTGCAGTGGAGATTAAACTAGATTCCTTAGGTGGAAGACCTCATTCAGTCTGTGGGCGGAGAATGGGAGGCACTCAGTCTGTTGGTGTCATCTTCCTCTTTATCTACTTTCCCCACAGGGCATTTTTGCCCAAACTTTCTCCCCGTTCACTCCCTCTTTGGAGTCTGAATCAGTCCTTGAACTGCTTTCCTACTCTACGTTCTCAGAACCTCAGTTTCTGATGCAGTCCCGGATTATAGGCCTGCTGTAATTGCGATTGTGTTATAAATATAAAAAGCTTTCATTTTTTAAAAAAAATAACAATTCAGCTACTGCTCATTCCAAATCCAGGGCAAGACGTTCCATCAAATCACTCCAAACTCCACGAAAAGATAGCAGTACTTTGATTTTGGACCAATGGGTGGCAGCCTTGTCTAAGTCACTGCAGGTCCCTCAGCGTTAGTTTCCT